GGAAACATATTTTTGTAGCGGTATCACATCTATTAAGCTTTTTAATATGACATTTAGAATATTTCAGTCCTTATCCCATTTGTTCGACAGAATAATTTCTACCACGAATTGCACAGCTGTTTGTAGCAGTCGTGCTTGTATGTATATGTATGGATGACATATGTACGATATTCGAAAGCAGTCGCGCTTTATTTTCCTTCACCCTTTCTGCAGATCCGAAGAGCTTCATACAGCCACATTAATTTTTCACGTCCTTACCAATACAGCAAAGTAACAACGGACATCCACCTTTAAGTGGAGAACCGTGATCTGTAGATTATTCCTACTTGTCTCCCATTCGTCGAAAAGCACAATCCCTATCAGGAATTTTAAGCAGTCATGCTTGAATGACTGGTACAAGAACAGCAAACGATAACAGTCTGTGCTACGGAAAAACGTGATATTCAGACGCACCATGCCCTGCAGAATCAGAGACATGACGCTCATTAACCCAAGAAGTAGAAACCTTGATTTTTTTCAGAAATCACGCTATAACAGATTGGTGCTTATTACACACGAATTCATCTCAGTCTTGAATCTTCATGTTGGTGGGACACCTTACCAATCAAATACTGTAGGGCGGCAAGAGACCCCACACTAAGCAGACCATTCGTAAATGTGCAAATAAACTTTTTCAGGTGCCTAATTGCTGTTACTTTGAGTATTTCACTGACGGTTTAGCTATGATCTTAGTATGGGTAGAGCCCGCCCCTTGTCAACAGGCAGACACACGTGTTTCATAAAGTGTCCGAGAGACCCAGTTCTTCAGTCTAGTATTCCCCTGTCCAAGCGATCAACCAGGTCCGAGGACCTGTTTTGGGAAAAGGGGAGAGGAAAAGAAGACGGATTCTGAAATACTAAACGCGTGTTCTTGAGATCCCATTCTACACCCTCACCTGTGTATGACAGACAGATCAGGAATGGAAAAAAACAACCAAACAAACAAATATACAGAACCCCAAAAAACCAAACCCCCAAGACAGAACAACAACAAAGAAGATATAAATAGCTGCACAAAGAACTCGTAAAAATCATGGTCCCAAAAGCCTAGAGGGCTAGACACGCAGCTTTTTTTCAACGCATTAATCAACGCGTATCAACCAAGCCCAAGTTAATCGGTTTCAGGAAAAGCGATCAGGAGGGAAAAGTATCCGATACCAGGAGACCACCACATTTTTCCCGACTCTGTCGTTCAGAATCATTTATTTACCGACTTGGCGAGAGCTGTAGTCAAAACCACGCACCTGAACCTGTGACCACAGAAGAACCACGAAGTGCCTCGGACTGATTCCTGATGAGTGGAAGGAGGACACCCCGTTCCTTCCTTCATGGAGACATGGATCAGCGCTCCCCAGACACACAGAGTTAACCCGTCCCACTGCTGCTACCATTTCTGCCATTGCTTTAACAGCATTCCCCCAAATGATGGGCGGCACACCCTTCTTTCACTATGGAATCTTTCTCTTTTCCATCCATGGAGATACACACGCGTTTCCTTTGAGAGTCCAGTACCGAAAAAAACGTTAACCAACGGTTTTCTGTACAACCACCATGTCGATCAGAAAGGAAACAACTCCAACTGGTATTGGCAAACCCGAATGTGCTAGGAATAATCACGAGATCTCACTCCACACAATAAGGATTGGCCTTCACCGTTACTAAATCATAAGGATTTATGCAAAATAAGAGTTATTGAAAAATCTCGGGTGAACCAGTGACCACCGAGAAACAAAGGAGTGACATGGCTAATGCCGTGCCAGGGGACAGGAAGTTACCCTGACCTTTCATTTCTTCACGAACACAAGACATAGCACTCCCCATCCGCACCGCCAGGTGAAAAAACAGGGGACTAGGGAGGGAGGTTCCGCGCAGCTCAGGGAAAAGAGGGAGAGCGCGCGGGCTTACAGACCTGCGGGGCGTCGGGGTCGGCGGGCGGCTCTCCCGCGCCGGCGCTGATGCTCGGGCTCGGCTTCCCGCAGGGCTCCGCGCCCAGCAGATCCTCCGCGGGCACGACGGGCAGAGGCGGCGGCGAGGGCCAAGCGGGCTGGGCGAGGGCGCGTCCCGGCGCCACGCACAGGTTGTAGGAGTAGGGCAAGGTGCCCTCGCAGAAGTCGGCCGGGAAGGCGGCGCCGGCCACGGAGAAGCGCTGCGCGCCCAGGCAGCGCAGGACGGCGGGCGGCCCGGCCCGGCGCAGCCGCGCCAGCACGGCCAGCGCCACGCTGAGCAGGAAGAGGGCGGAGAGGAGCGCCAGCGCCAGCACCAGGTAGAACTGCAGCTCGGCCGGCGAGTCGGCGCCCGCCGCCCGCTCGCTCAGCTCCGGCAGCGCCTCCTGCAAGCTCTCGGCCAGCACCACGTGCAGCGTGGCCGTGGCCGACAGCGCCGGCTGCCCGTGGTCCTTCACCACGGCCACCAGCCGCTGCTTCGCCGCGTCCCTCTCCGACACGGCCCGCGCCGTCCGCACCTCGCCGCTGTGCAGCCCCACGCGGAACAGCGCCGCCTCCGACGCCTGCACCAGCTCGTACGACAGCCACGCGTCCGCGCCTCCACCGACACGTACGCCGCCGCGCCCGCGCTGCCGCCCGCCAGCCAGTAGCTCACGCGGCCGTTGGCGCCCGCGTCCGCGTCCCGCGCCTGCACGCGCACCACCGACGCGCCCGCCGCGTTGTTCTCCGCCACGTACGCGCTGTAGGCCGCCTCCTCGAACACCGGCGCGTTGTCGTTCACGTCCGACACCTCCAGCACCAGCGACGCGCGGCTCCACAGCGGCGGGCTGCCCCGGTCCCTGGCCACCACCGTCACGCGGTGCTCGGACGCCTGCTCACGGTCCAGCGCGCTCGCCGTCACCACCTTGTACGAGCCGCCCGACGACGCCACGATCGACAGCGGCGCCTCGCCCGACAGCTCGCACCACACCTGACCGTTCTCCCCGGAGTCCCGGTCCCGCACTTTCAGCAGGGCCACCACGGTGCCGGCGGGCGCGTCCTCGGGCACCGGGCTCGACACCGACAACACCGTGATCTCGGGCGCGTTGTCGTTCACGTCCAGCACCTCCACCTCCACCTTGCAGTGAGCCACCAGACCGCCCCCGTCTCGCGCCTCCACGGCCAGGATGAAAACGCGTGTGTCCTCGAAGTCCAGCGCCTCCCGCAGCGTGATCGTCCCGCTCACCGAGTCCACCTCGAACTTCTCAAGCACCTTGGCCGGCATTTTCCCGAAGCCGTAGGTGATGCGGGCGTTGGTGCCAGCGTCGGCGTCAGAGGCGGAGACGTTCAGCACCGTCGAGCCAGGCGGCGCGTCCTCCCGCAGGCTCGCGCGGTACCGGTCCTGCGTGAACACGGGTGCGTTGTCGTTGGCGTCGGTGACGTTGATGCAGAGCTGGGCGGTGCCGCTGCGGGGCGGGTCGCCGCCGTCCACTGCCGTCAGCACCAGACGCAGGCTCTGCTCGCTCTCCCGGTCCAGCGCCCGGCGCAGCACCAGCTCCGCGAACTTGCTGCCGTCCTCGTTCTCCTTCATCTCCACCGCGAAGTACTCGTTGGCCTCCAGCTCGTAGCCCTGCAGCGAGTTGCTGCCCACGTCCGCGTCTTCCGCAATGCCCAAATGGAACCTGGCGCTGGGAGCAGTGAGCTCATTGATCTCTAGCTGGAAATTATCTTGCAGGAAACGCGGCGCGTTGTCGTTGATATCCTGGATGGCCACCTCGACATGGAAAACGTTGAGCGGGTTGTGCACCAGCGCCTCGAAGCTGACGGAGCAGGACGCCGACTCGCCGCACATCTCCTCCCGGTCCAGCCTCTCGCTCACGTACAGGTTCCCGCTCTCCCCGCTCACCGTGAAGTATTTCAGCTGCCTGTTAGCGGCTGACGCCACCCGCAGCTTGCGCGCCGGCAGCTCCGCCGGGCTCAGCCCCAGGTCCCGCGCCAGCGGCCCCACCAGCGACCCTCTGCCCAGCTCCTCGGGGATGGCGTAGCGGATCCGCTCCGACGCCGCCGCCGCCGCCGCCCGGCAGCACAAGCCCAGCAGCAAAGCGCCCAGCAGCAGCACCAGCACTCGCCCGCCTGCTCGCCGCCGGCTCCCACTCTCCCGCTGCCTCTCACCGACCGCCATTCTCGCCAGCGCTCGCCGCGCTCCTCCCTCCTGACGCTGCGCCGGCTCCGGCTGCGGCTGCGGCTCCAGCGCCGCTCCGCGTCGGCCAACAGCGGCACCCGGAGGCGCCGCCACGACACCGCAGCCGGCCGGTGACCGCGCTGCCGGGGCCCGGGCTTTCGGCCGGTGTTTACTGGCTGCCCCCAGCTTTGGGGCCTCTCTTTTATGAGAATCAGTAAGCGCAGGGGCACTATTTTGCTGAAACTCCAAAGGCTTTTAAAAGTGAGGTGCGCTGTCGCGTACTTTTAGGTCATCTCTTTCAATGTCAGTCGTCGGTAGGAAATATTTGTGGCAGTACAATAAATAAAACAACACAACTGCTTGTTTTGTCCAGAGAAAAGTAATAGAGGAAGAAACGATGTTATAGCTTGGAAAGACAATTGGAGATTTTATTACTCCTTCAGGTATTTTCAAATCTGTCTTCCTTATATGGCAAGAATAGCCAGAAGGAAACAATGATGTTCCAATAAGAAATAAGTAATGAGAAAAAGTATGGTGCAAATGTCTTTTCAGTCCTTTCATGTGGAGTCTGCCAAGGGTTTCCCTGCATTTCTTCCTTTTGCTCATGTAACTCTGACGTTTGTCACACTGTCGATTTTTCTTTTAGGTAGAAGAACAAATACACTGGAATAATTATATGGTGTGTATAGCTCTATGCTAAGGTAGCAGAACAACGTTCATTTTTTTTTTCACACTACTGTTTCACAAAATTTCCTTCTTTTACATCTCCATACTTGAGAGCATGACAATGGGAAAGTGCAAAGTCATGTCACATCTTTCATAGAACCATAGAATGGT